TTTTATGCCTCAACTCAGAACAGACATGGAGACAGTGTGAGGATTACAAGGTCATGTTCACCTGCACTGGACAGTTCTGCTCAGGTGTGTTGTAAAGACGTAAAGGGTTGAGTGCTTTTTTTTTTTTTAATTATTGCTAATTATTTTTTAGTCTAACGACATCCCTCATTGCTTATAGAGTGCAGGACGCGCTGGTTCGATCATGATGACCCAACGGGAAACGGAGACTATGAGGTTCTCAGTGACCTCCTCACCATGTACCCCAGAGAAATCTGCCCCCAGCCGATAGCCATCGAGGTCCAGACCGTCTCTGGGGAACCTGCCTCCAGCACTTCTGACACCTTTTTAAAGTGATATTAACAACATCAGTTTTCAACGACAAAATTAGAATCAATTGCATTAACTGAGGAGCGATGGGGACAAGGTGGTGCACTTATCTGTTGGTGCCTTATTTTCTGTTTCTTGTAGCTATGACGCCACCTATGGGTTCGCCTGTGTAAATGCAGATCAGGGGAGCAGGAGCTGTGAAGATTACAGAGTCAGGTTTACATGTCCTGAAGAGTTCTGTCAAGGTATGTTGCCTGGTCTTGTTTTCCTTTGGAACTCACTAATATGTAAAGAATTAGTTTCATGATTGCCCATTAAATTATTTTCCATAACTATTTTCCAAATATTCACAAAGACACACAGGTCTCACATACAAAATTGTAATATATGACATATACTGTATGTCCCTCTATCAAGAGTGATTTTGCCATATATGCCACCTATTATTATTACATATTTACATCATCTGGCTGTATGAAGATATAAGTTTATAACATATATGAAACATTCATAGTAAAATGTGTATATGTACATACATTAAAATATCTATATGATGAATTTTAATATGTCACAACATGTAACATACAACATACAACAATACATTTAATTTATATATCAAACTACATACATATAAAAATTCTATATGCTTATACTGTTTAATGTTTTTCTTATTCATTTCTCATTCATTTTAAACATGTCTATCTTCACATTTTGGGAAAGAGGCCTCAGACCTTTGGAGCCAACTTTATATAATATCAACATATACTGACAGGCGTTTGGCATGGATATATATTTATATTTATATAATATGTCAGAAATATAAGCATACTTACATAAACATACATATTTGTATGGGCTAGAAGTGCATGTCAATATATTGAATAGTTCCAATTTCTAGGTTTTACATATGTGCTTTTAGTTTGAAATATACTGTATATGTAAATTCAGTATATGTACATACATTACTTTTGCATACTGTAAGATATTCAAAAATATAATGTAGATTGTCACCTATGTCCACACACAAAATCAGTCCAACCAGTGACTCGGGCTGCAAATTACCTTCAGCTAGATGCCCTATATACGTTATAGATTTTGCATTAGTCCACACAGACACACACACACACACACACACACACACACACACACAAACACACAAACACATTAGAGATTCTCATTCTTGTTCCTGCTGAGCTTGAGTGTCGTACAAACTTGCATCCATTTGTAACCTGCGCTCAGTGTCAGAGCAGTGTCGAACACGATGGATGAACAGTGACACCCCTTCAGAGGAGGGGGATGTCGAGTCCATTCTTCAGCTGATGAAAACCTTCCCCGGTCAAGCCTGTAAAAACCCAGTCAGCATCGAGGCCAAGACAACCAGAGGAATATCCGCCGCTCACACCGGAGACACGTACCTTTCGTGAGCACATTGTTTCGACATCAAACACACAGGTTCAGATGTGACATTTGTTCAGTCATAAGACATGCTTCTTCAGCTTTTTTTTATTTTTTTATTTTTTTTATTCCAGCTATGATGTCACTTTTGGGTTTGCATGCATCAATAAAAAACAGAAGAGTAAACAGTGTGAGGACTATCAAGTGATACTGACTTGTCCCTCAGACTTCTGTCAGGGTAAGTTTTCATGCAGGTAGGATTCATTTGGCTTCAACATGTCTGTGGATGTATAAAGTGATGAAAAACAAATACTACAACCTATAAAAGCCAGTTAAAATAAGTCTGAATCAGAGGATCAGTGTCAGGAGACCATTTGTTTTTCACTGTTTGGCAGGGTGCAGGACACGCTGGTTCGACGTGGACAATCCCAAAGGGAAAGGGGACTACGAGACCCTCCTCCAGCTGCAGATGCTGTATCCCAGTGAGGTGTGCACCCAGCCTGTGGCCATTGAAGCCATGACACTGTCCGGTGTCCCTGCGCACAAGACGGGTGAAGTCTTTCAAGCGTGAGTTGTGGGACTGAAAATGACACAGTCAAGTGTTGTTGAATAAACAAAAAGGTGTGTCACATTCTGCCTGCAGCACATAGAGCAGTGAACCTGATACTCAGTGGGACTTTTGAGTTGAAGTTGATATTAAATGTATCAAAAGCCAAATGACATTGGATCCAAATTCTCTCCATTCTCTGTGGACATTAATTACATTATGGCAACTGGATCACACATTGCATTACAACATTGTTATCTGATGGGCTGAGCCAGACTAACTGTTTACCAGTTTAGTCTTTATACTAACATAAGCTAATCTGGCTGTAGCTTCATATTCACTGTTCAAAAATGTTGAACTTTCCCTTTAAACGGGTGCACTCGTGATTTAATGTTGCACTTCCATAAAGTTGAGTTACTCGTGAATCACAGATTAAAAAAAGAATGGTCAAAATCAAAGCACCAGATGCTGAGATATCCTGACTTTTATTCAAACTCTAATAGCACCGGGTCCAACAACCCCCATAATGCAACTGGATATTGTCTTTCATGAGATCCTCCTTGCCTGGTAAACATTCATGTCTTTCAAACTCCAAACCCCAAGTTTCTAATGCAGGCTCTCTGTTGTGCCCAAGTCCAAGCTGAGATAACTCTGATGACATCACTATGACTAATGTCTACTGTGGCTCCTGAGCCACAGTAGACATTACACAACTGTTCACAGGCAGTTCTCCTCATGACGAGCAAACTGAACTTCATGTGTAAAATTGGTGATGTGTCCCTTTAAACCGTTTGCTTATTATATATTTTGCAGATATGACGCTGCCCATGGTTTTGCCTGTGTGAATGATGAGCAGCCTGGTCGAAAACTCTGTCAGGACTACAAGGTCCGCTTCACCTGCCCGCTGACTTTCTGCACACAATGAACACTGAGTGCTCAACAGTTATTTAGGGTGATTTATTGACAAGTGTATGTTTTACAATGTGAATACATGTATGTTGTCATAAAAAAAAGGAGGATCATTTGCACCCAAAGTGTGGTTATTTCAGTCTTCACATGCTGGATGTCTGTGGGTTCATTAAAGATTGAGTTGCATCAGGCATATTTATGAAGTGTGCATAAATTGCATATGTAAGCAATTTTCCAGATCCAGGCTCCACAGAGCAGAAGTGACACAGAATAAAACCTGAATATCAGCAGTTAACAAGTTCACACCTTATGGTTACAAGAAAAACAAAAGTTAATGGAAGACCAGCCTGGAGTGACAGGAACTTCAGTTCAGTCCACTAGTAATAAATTCAACTGGAACCTCTTAACATAAGCTGTACATGCATCTGTGAGATTAACACCCTGATCAACCAGTTATTATTGGTCAATTATTAGTCAAATGTTTACATATTAGTCTTCTATATGTTTTGTTTCAGTCATAGTTAACTAATATTATGATTAATGTGTAACTAGTGCAGTCTCACATGCACGCTTATTCAGTAATTTGGAATCGTTTAGCCATTACCTCAGCAAATGAATAATTTATAATAGAAATAGTAATAGGTTACTACTGCTACTACTAATGATTATAACAATGATATGCAAAAATGTAAGTATCTGTGTCCTCATTAAGAATCAGGTATCAAATTATTTATATTATTTATCATAAGGGGTTACCTTGCTGAACAGTTAATTATTTGAATGTGAGTCAGCACAACGACATCCAACTCTGGTGACAGTGACTTGGACCTCGCTCGAGACTTGACTGTCTGACTTGTAACTTATGGAAATTTCATGAGACCATGGATGTGTGCATTATTTTATTTGCTCCTATATGCAGCCAAAGGACAGTGTGCAGCATGACTAGAACAAATCCCACTCACTCGTGTTTAAACATTTATCTTCCATCCTGGCTGAAGGCAGCTCATTATTGAGGCAGCAAATTGTTTGGTATTCATGACTGTGCCACATTTTTTTCTCTCATACGAACCATACTGTTGAAAAAAAAGCACTTATAGCAACTCTGAGAATGTTGCCTTAACTTCATGTGTTTATGGATACTATACTATTCTTTTGTTAATTCTGCTGCACATGACTCCAAAGTGCACTAACTACAGGACAAGAACAAATTCCACTCACATACTGTATATTTTATCATTTATCTTCCATCCTCACTGACTACAGTTTATTATTGCTGCAGTTTAAATGAACTCTTCAGGAATAGCTATGAAGAAAATGTTGCTGACATGGAATCTAACCTCTTTTAAACACAAAAAATCACTATTGAGAATATTGTAGAGGACCTATATGTATTTATTTCACAGGGGCTTATGATTGTGATGCTCATTTGTGACTTATTGCACTTATGGTCTCAACATGTAATAATAATAATAGTAATGATGATTATACGAGTAACAGCCTACCTCATAACTACTAGAAGTTTGCTGTATTCCTTTGACGTGTATGATCTTGTGCAAAATAAATAAATAAATAAATGGATAACAGAATTTAATAAAAATTCACCTACCTGTGTAACATGTTCAGTCTACACACATTTTTGCGCTTTTTGTCCGAATATCATTTCCAGTAATGCTTTTGCCATCGAAAAATTTTCCCAACAATATTATGGAAAAAACTAGAAGCAGCGGGAGCGTCATTTCCGGTGGAATATTCCAGCGGATTTACCCTTGGTCTTTAAAAGGACGCGCTGAAGAAGCGGCTGTAAAGTTGACAGGTAAACAGACATATGTTGTGTCTACGTTACTGCCGGTAACTAATTAATTTTAAACACCCGAGTCAGTTAGCAGGCTGACATAAGAGAAACCAGTCTACGTGACAAAGAAAAGAAAAGATAGAGAAAGAGACAATTCGTTTTTTTTTTTTGTTTTGTTTTTTTTTTTGTTTTGTACGTGAGCGTTTAGACGTCTCCATCATTTGATTTGTGTAGACTGTATTCTGTGGAGGTCCTCTCAGGTAAAATGAGATGCATTTTGTGCGTTCGTGGGTGTGTGTGTTTGTGTGTGTGTTGCATCAATAGCGAATATTTTACAGTCAGAAATATAGGCCTGCTTTGTATTTTGTAGGCTCATTGAGTTGTGACGCAGTTGCGCAACTTGCTCTCACAATCTGTTCACAGAGATGATGGGATGTGGGGCGGCTCCGCTTATGCTGGTGCTACTTTAGATCAGCTGTTTGTTATCCTCACGCCTCTGGTGTTCCTCTTTTTCTTTTTCTTTTTCTTTTTTTCTTTTGCACATTAGGATGTCACAGAGGCCGTTTGGCGCTGCAGTTAAAGTATAGGCCAGTGGACTGGTGCTGAGGATAGTGGCGTTGCGTATTAAGGCTCCCGCTGAGTGAGCAGCTGTAAAGTGTAGACCAGCAAGTGGTGGTGGTGGTTGGCTGAATTCAGCGGCACACAGCCCCCGTGTGTCTCAGATGTAACCGGTGTGATTTCAATATATATAGAAAAGATAGAAACGCAAGGCAGGAGTGGGTATTATTACGCACAAGACCCACAACAAAACGTTACTGACTCAGTCAAAATGTGATAGTTCAGCTATTACGCCCACATTATTGAGTGATGATTTTGAAGAGGTGAATTTGAGGCTAAAAGTTCCTTGTGGATACATACGACATTTAACAGCTGGTCGTAGAGTTAAATGTGTAGACATATGGCTTCCAAAACTGATCACCAAACATCTCTTTAAGGACTTCTAAGGAAGATTCAGTAGGAGTTAGTTATTATTTTAAAGTTTGAAATAAATTTTGTATGTACAGTATGTGGTGTATAATTATTATTATTATTTTCTAAAATCTTTCAGCTTTTGTACTGTGAGCCAGAGACGATCATGATCCTCCTGACTCCCTCCTCTGGTAGGTACTTGTTTCTCAATCTCATCCTTAATAATCTGGATAACTGTTTACCTACATGGGCATGGCTTGCCAGCAATTAAAGACGAGGCCTTTTTTTGGATTCAGTTGGAAAAGACAACATCCACTGATGTACTGAGGGAGCTCTAAATATGCTTGGACTGAATAAAATGGAAAAAGTATTTCATTTTGTAAATATGAATCAAATACAACAAGGGAAGCATATAGCGGATGTTCAAGCCTGAGACATATGAGACTGAGAGCTATAGTTCATTATCACCGCTCACATACATTCATGTATACTGCATATTGTACAGATTGAGGTATATAGGTACCAATATAGGAATTATATTGAAACTAAATTACACATTTACTATAGGCTCTACTATCTCATTATCATACAATGCAGTTAACACCTAAAAGTAAAGTAAAGAGCATTAATTGTGCTGTAAATTCACCTCAGATTATTCCTGTTGTGAATCGTTTTTCTTGTTTTTCGTTTAGTCTTTTTAGTCGTTACCAGGTAACATAGCAGGGTATTACATAACAAGGGCTCTCCCATCATGCTTTGCACTCATTAGGCAGAAATCCAGAAATAGAGACCTGCTTGATATTGACAGTGTGTTCAGCTCTTCAGGCTTTATCCTCTTTTTTTTATTAGTGACCAAGACACACCAAGTGTGTTAAGTGGTTAGAGTAAAACTTGACCGCTAGCTCTGTAAGGCCGCAGGCTTTAATGCACAGGAAGCTGCACATGTGGCTCTCTAATGGTATTTACTGTGGCAAAAGTTAATCAAGCTGATTATTCATGTAGCAAACTTTGCAATGACATGATTTTCAAAAAAAAAAGCAGTGTGTTTTCTGCATTCCTTGATGTGCTTTGTTTTCCCATAAAAAGTTTTCAGACAATATTTAAAATGCCAGGTTGTAAATGTGTGTTAAAGTCCCAAATGAGAAGTAAAAAGCATGCTATCAAGTAAAAGTGTAAGTTATTTTTGGCTTTCTGCTGTGTCTCATACGCTGTTTTCTTTCAGATGAAGAGTCTCTTGAACTCGCCTGGCTTTGGAATCACAGGAAGTTCAGGGTGAAAAACACTTGAAGGGTTGCTACTGCAACATTTAAAAAAAAAAATTGAAACTTTTTGCAGGTCATTATCTGTACATACTGTCTTGGACAGTACTATGACTTGAGAGAAAATAATAAGCTCACAAGAGAGGAGGCAGACAGAAAACAGAGATTTCTTTGTCTTCATTAAAAAGCATCACAGCTTTGTGGGGGCAGAGGCAGCTTTTGGCTGGAGAGAGGCAGAGTCAGCAGTCATTCCATCTTGCTGACTAAGATAGTGAACGTAGCTTTTTACTATAGTTCTTACAGCAAATTTTGTCAGTGCAACTAAACATATCAAGTTATAATTACAACTTTTACTGATTGCACTTGAAGCAAACATATAGCCTGTTAAACTGTTACTACTGATAATATAACCTCATGCAGTGAAGTATTTGAATGTAAACTGCATGTTATAAAAACATGGAAACCAGGTGAGGTTGTAGACTAATCTTATCCCACAATCTCCATTAAAGCCTGGGCTGCAGTCGTATCAATAGATTTGAACAGTTAGCTATGCGAGGGCTACTGCCATTACCTTGTCTTAGGTCACTATGTTTGATCAGAGCTAACAGGCTAAATAATCTCAGGTCTGGTATGTGTCAATGCAGTAGGTCCAGCTCACACTCACTGTAGCTAATGGTGTAGGTGGTAGTCCCCTAAATGTCCATAGCTTGTTCCCCACACCAGTATTTGTGTGTATTTGACCCCTGATAAGACCACGTTTCAGTGCTAACACTTCACATACATCATGTTCAGATATTGTATCCTTTTGAAAAAAATTTTTTTCTTCCAAATATTATCTCAATGTTGACCTTTAATGCATGTCATTGTGGCCATTTTTTTGTTAAAGTTAGAATATGTATATGTTTATTGCATACTTATAACTGATGATTATGTAATAAGTAGGTGATCAGGCACTCTTTAATGTTGCATGCTGGAGGCTGCGCACACCGCATTGAATGAATGTACAAATTTAACAAATGCATTTTAGTGATCTGAAAATGGATGAATGTATCGTAAGGTTGGTCTCCGTCCAATAAACATACGTCTTGGTAAGTGATACTTCTTTTACATAAGACGGAGGATTCAGATTCATAGTTATATTTCGATTTAAATACAGAAAAAAAAAGATATACAAAAGATTATTATTCAGTTACAGTGTGACAGGTAAATCGTTAAGTTTACTTTCAGAATTTTTACACTTTTTTTCCTCACCGCTGAACTGAAGTTTGACTCAAACTGTGATATCATTTGTAGACTCATTCACATTCAGACTCGTTCATCAAAAGGTCAGCTGGTATACGGTCACCCAATCACAGTTTAGCTTTTCTCTTAAACCACAGCAGAGGTTATTTATCTAACACAGACAACTACTAACTGCCGTTGTTGTGTGGTCTCAGGTTTCTTCCAGTGTACCAACAAGCTCTTCCTGAGTGATCAGGCCACAGGGCTCCACATCAAGGAGTTTGCACGTAAAAATGCAGCGAATGCACTGTCGGTTTCCAACATGGTCATGGGCATGGCCTCCATTCTCAGCAGTCTTAATGGGTGAGTGAACACGCCGTCATTGGATTTTACCATCTTAAATATAAGTCAGGCTCAGCTGCAGGAGAGAGAAAAACACATCGGCTATAAGCACTGTGTAGATTGATGTGGGTTTCAGTAAAAATAATGAATCAATAATTTAAATGAAAATGAAGATTGTGGCTAGCATTTTCAAAACCAAATTTACGGTGACCCTGAGGGCAAAACTCAACACGACTACAGCATTTCACAAAACACATCAAAAACACAATAACCAAATAATGAATGAAAACACAACAGCATTAGAGAAAACAGTTTAGAAAACACACACCAAATGAGGAGGAAAAAAAATGATTTACTAACACAGAAAACACAATTGACATTTCCGAAAACACAACATTAGAGAATAGAAATGAACAAACCAGGAAACAGAACATTTCAGAAATGTTCTTGTAAAATATTTTTGTGTTTTCTGTTTTGTGAAATGTTTTACTTATTTGTTAATGTTTTTTTCAGTGTTGGTATGTTTTGCCTCTCAGGACCACTGTACAATAAGTAATGCTTATAATGATGACAGGTTTACTAAGCTTAGAGTAAAGAGGCACAGGCAGGTGCAGGTCATCCAGTGTTGGGAAACATTGCCTAAAGATAATAATTCTCTACACGATGAAGACAATTATTTAACTTTTTTTAGACATTGTTGAAATCGATCCAGCGCTAGTTTCAGCTCTTTTCCACTGGTGAGAACCTGCAGATATTTTACCCTTTGAAATGGGTTGCTGTCATCAAATAGCTAAACCTAACTCTAACTCGTTTTGTTCAGGCACCATCATGCTGCATGTTGGCTGGTTCTGATTGGCTACCTGCTGGATTTGGCAGATGGAGCAGTTGCCAGGCGACTCGATGCCTGCTCTGCACTGGGTAAGTGGAGTGTTGTGGTCAGTAGCTCTTTCCAAAGATAAACTCCAACTGGGGTTTTTGGCAGGGCTCTCTGCACAGTCCTTTGTCTGGACTTTCTAATTTGGCCACAAAAAGTCTCAAACAAAGGGAACCAGTAAAACGAAACTCTGCAATTGAAATACTTTGGATAGTCTTACAAAGTCTCAAAATAAGAAACATACATATTTTATATCATGTAATTCAAGCTTCATCAAATCATTGTCTTTTTAGTTTGTGTCTTTGTGGTCCCCAGTTAAATAACAGGCATCCAATGCAAATACTTACAACATAGAAACATAGAAACATACATCAACATTTGACAACAAAGAAAGTATACCACTGATGGTGTGTTTTCAAAAGATGACGGCACCATATATTATAAATGAGGAGGCACAAATAGCTGTTTTAACATCGCTTCCAGTGTGCAAGTTCACATTTTCTCAGGATCCTAAAATAGCTCCCAGGTGCATCACAATACATCGTTGGCTGCACATTTCAGGGGGCTTTGTGCCTCGACAGGGTTTTTCTGCATGACTTTGCAGGTGGATGTTGTTGTGCCCCCCACGTATTTTGTCAAATGAACAATCACTTTCTGATTAAGCAGCCTAATTCCATGGGATCACGCTCCAATTGTCTATTTTATCCCGTTGCTTTGGGTTCTCTGCATATCTGAAATTGCTAAAATTGTTGACCCTGGGCTGTGGAATTCCACCTCGTCCATTTGAGCCGTGGCCTGAATCACCTCATCCTCATCTGCTGAAAACATGCTCCATGCTCCTGAGGGATAAAGAAACAAGGCAGTGGAGAATGTTGTTTATAGAATGGCTGCCTGTTGGGCTGACACTGAAATTTCCACTCGGGGATTTTTTGCACATGGACATGCCACACCACTGTCACATGTCGGTGACTTTGGCAGTGACCATACGGGAAAGATGATAACATATCTACCCTGGCCTTTATAAAATGTACACTCATGACTAGGCCACTGTTGGACTTTAAGTAGTGTAATATTTGGACAGTTGGTTCTCACAAGAAGCATTTTTACAGCAGATTATTCAGAATCATAGACTGTAAATAAAGATGGACAGATCCTAACATGCACATGTAATTCATGCCTCACTGTAAACCTCATCGAGCCACATGTATTTACATCTATCTTTTTCATGATCAGGTGCAAAGCTAGATGATTTTGCTGACTTCACAACCTTCGGCATCGCCACGTCGCTGCTCCTGAGGACAGCTGACCTGCTGGACAACTTCCTGTGCATGTGTTACGTCCTATCTGTGTTCGTCCGCCTCTGTTTCTTCTCAAGCGGTAATGCAAAATGTAGTAGGCTGTTTTAAGTAATATTATCTGAGAGATTTATCCTATGAAACATTTTCTCATTGTGTTTTCTGTCGGTCTCAGTCACGCTTTATCATTTGAAGGACTTACTGGAGATTTATTTTTTGTTTTGTCCTAAGGGATCCCATTCATGTACCGGGGCCTGCCCTGCATCTACTCCTCAGCCATCCTGGCCAGTGCCTCTCTGCTGTCAGGGGGAAACATGGCCGTGCTGCGTGTCATCGCAGTGGCTATGATCCTTTTCATGATCAGTCACAACTTCTACCCCCATGACAGAGTGCTGGAGTCCCAGGCATGGAAGAAAGTAGTTTACGCTGGAGGTATAAGCTATTTTAAAAAAATCCATGATTCATATCTCTCCTGGACAAAAGAGTAGCTGTTGAGAGTAACGACCACCAGAACTGATTCATGTTATAAGTGCATTTTCTAGATTTTGTAGCCTACTGCTTAAAACAACTTGAAAGTAAATTTGAATAACTCAATAGCATTGTGTCTTTGTAGAGACAATGTGACTGAATGAGACAACTGTTTTCAGTTGTGCTATTTTCAGCCACACTAACAGTTTGGCTATTGGGTAGACTGACATCAAACTTTGTACAGACCTTGTGTTCCCCACACACAGTGAGTTGCAATAACTTTTCATCTAGCGCCATCATCAGGTCAGTGTTTTGACATCAAATAGTTTGGTTTATGACCAAATACCTAGAAAACTCAGGTATAAACTGAGGTGGGATTGAAACTCAGCTGTCTCAGCTGTGCTTTGTTTTTAATGCTAATTAGCAAAGGTTAGTATGTTGACAGCCTAAACTAAGGTGAATATGGTAAACATTATAGCTGCTTAACATTAACTTGTTAGCATTATCACTGTGAAGATGTTAGCATGCTAATGTCAGCCATGCGTTATCACTGTGAACATGCATTATCACTGTGAACATGTTAGCACGCTGGCCTTAGCCATACTGCTAACAATAGCATGCTAACATGTTCAGTAATGAAAACCTTACACAGTGAGTTTTGAAGATTATCATAAGTAATCAGAATATTTTTCCTGGCAGTAAATGCTATGTAATTTTTCAGTGCTGTACCGCTTGTCATTCAACTTTTTTTTTTTCACTTTCAGGAGTTGTCATGGTGTTCTGCTCTTCCTTCCCCCCTGCCTGTGCGTACTATCTGCTGTGGTCCGTCTCCTACATTTTGTTCCCAACATCCCTTTGGAGCAGTAAAGTGTAAAAAGTGTGCTGGCTCTGTCCAAAATTCCCATTAGGTTTACCTCCGGCCCATCTGGGTGAAGTGAGGCTTCCAGACTTGCTGCTGCTCCCCACTGCCATGGAGGATTCAAGCTGAACATACCCATACGCCACAGGCGAACACTTTCTCTGTCTAACCTTTATTTTGATGTGACACCTCTAAAACAGAACCCAGACTAAAGGGAGTTATAATGAGGGATGGGAAGGACATTTTAATGTTACTGGTAAAGATTAACCTTCATGCTGTCTTAATGCCTTTGTTGCATTTTCACTGAAGCCAAGGGTTGGGTGGCTTGTTCCAAAAACTGAATGAATCTACTATATGATTTCTCAGCAGCATTTCCAAGATGCCCTTTCTGGTTTATCTAAACACAGTAATTAGCATTCATGCACTATGATGAGTTTAACTGACATCTGTTAATGTTTGTATCAGGGTTGGGGCCAATTAACTTTCATGGTATTCAGGTCTGGATATGTCCTTAAAATCCACGTTTTCCATTACAAATCCAGCCAGAGGAATCTTTTGAACATAATGGTTCTGTCATTCTTATTATTTAATTTGCTGTTTGAATGTATGTTTTAAAAAGGTTGAACTGAAAGCAAACTGACCCCAACCCGAGGGTAAATTGGGTAATTGTGTTCTGTTTTAAGACTTTTAGCTTTTTTCCAAGCTGTGACTCAGTCCAAGAAAAGATGTGTTAGACCTTTGTATTTCTTCTATGTGTGATTTTATTGGGTCATTGCATGTGTTTGCCTCTGTTTTAAGAGGCATTGCAGCTTAAATATCAAATCCACACTGGATCACCAACACCTCTCATAGTGATTCTCTGACTGCAGCCGAATCAGTGATGACACTGCAGGGTTTTTTTTCCCCCATTGCTTGTCAGAACACCTGCAGTGACTTTATCGATTGAGGTCAGAAATGCAACATGAGTAGAAGTTGCAATCCATAAATAGCACTGCAGCAGCAGCTCTCTGCCTCAGGTGATTCAGTGTGAATTTACACTTAAAGAGCAACAACAACACAGGCTGCAAATCCTCCTTTTCCTGCCATCTAGTGGGTAAAGATTTCAACTCGCTGTTGTTATACCACTACAGTCGGTGTTGGCTGTGATCTAGAGCAGCAGCACTGAAACTTTAAATCCACAGGGGTCAGGGAAGGAAAGAATAAGTGTGTTGTTACTCTTTAGCTTGGCCAGTATTCAGTCTGAGGAACATCATATTTTTGTAGACCAGTCCTTTATAGCAAGGACAACTTTTTGGCATCTCTCATCATGTCTCACAATGGGTATATGTGCCTCGCTGAATTGTGTGTGGCAAATGGGGAGATTGTATAGTTTTATACGAATTTGTTCAGAAGCCTGATGAAGATGACATTAATCTTAAAGTTTGTAATCAGAGGTGTCAGAATAAAAGGTATGACATCACTCACATTGTTCACACTCACCTCATTTTAATGATTTGAACCTTGTATAAACCATAACTCATAGTGTTAACACTTTATGAGTTATCTCCATAACAGAGTTTTCTGAGGGAAAACTGAGAAGACGGAGCAGGATTTCATAAATCAAGTCCTCTGTTATAAAAATACTAATACAAAAGATCACGTCCTCTGATTCAGATATTGATTTAAACCTACTTTGGTTTATGGTAACCGACATTGTGAAGAAAAAAAAACAGTGTAAAGTGCATACACAGATTGAACACAAATACAAATCTACTCTTGGACATTCAGTAGTGCATTCAGCTTTCCTGTGTGGGTGTTTTGGTTTTCAAATTGTAAAGTCACAGTAATGTATGCATGCCCAGAGCATTATAGATACAAAAACTGTACTCTGCCCAATGATAATAAAAAAAAAGAATATAAGATCTGTGCATCAGTCTGTACATTTTGACAATAAATATAAAAAGAACAAGAACAACTTGTTTCAGTGTTTCAGTGTTGTTACTTTATCAGCATTTGGCGGTTATTTGTTACCAATGTACAACTTTAATAGAAGACATTCAACAGTACTCAGAGGATGCTACTTTGCAGCCTGAGAGATAATCAGACTTTATATGTTTAAGTTCCTTTTATCGGTTGTTGTCATATTTGATAGTACATGAGTTTAGGAGAGCAGCCCTGCTTTTCTGTTATACTCAAATATGTCTATGACCTCAGGAACATGAAGAGGTTTAAGAGCTGCTAGGTGCAGTGAGGAGTCCAACAGCTTGATGATGGCTGAGAAGGTCGGTCGGTCTTTGAAACTCCACATCCAACAGTACTTCATCAGATCATACCTAGAAGAATACATAAGGAGTTTAAAACACAGAATGGTTTGACATTTTGGGACATACAAAAGATTTGAAGATACAGTGAGGACATGATGACCTTAGTTCAGCATAAAGACTGAAAGCAAGGGGAAACAGCTAGCCTTACTAGCAGCTATAAGGTTTTTACAGACACATATATATATACATACACATATTAACTGAAAGAGATATAAGGTTAGGTTGGCAGATTTTCTTTTACTTTTGGACAAAGTTGGGCCAACTGTTCCCCAGTTTCCAGTCCTTATGCTAGGCTAAGCTAAGTGACTGCTAGCTGGTAGCTACATATTTATCAGACAGTCATGAGAGTGGTACCAATCTTCTCACCCAACTCTTGGCAAGAAACTTAATATGTATATTTCCTTGCTTATCCATGTGCAGTGACTTCTTATCGCATTATCTGACTTCTTATTGACATAAGTATAAGTTGGCTCAGTTGCTAACACTAAACTAAGTGACACTATATTACTCCATGTTATTTTTTAACTAGTGTACTTACAAAGGTCCTCCACAATTCCCTGGTCTCTTCATTCGATAAGACCCTTGTAGCTTTGGAAGGACTGACAGAGGCTCTAACTCAGGGTATGGAGGAGAGCCTGAGTTAAAAAGAACAAAACGTATTCTTTAAAAGAAACTAATATGAATAGACACCTATACTGATGGATAGGATAATAGGACTTGGTGCTTTACCTAAGGTAACCAGCTCATAGAGTAAGATTCCAAATGACCACCTAGGGAATAGAAAATGTTAACAAATGCCCTGACTCATTGATGACAAAACAATGTGTTTTGATTGTGTTTCATTTTCTTGGCCATAACTCTGCTCTCACACGTCACTCCTGTCAATAATGAGCTGCATCATAATCCTCTCTGGAGCCTGCCATTTGAGAGGCACCTCTGTTGCCCTCTGCCTAAATGCTGAATCCATCCTGCGTCCTCCAAATGCTACACCCAGTCCAGACACCCGAGCCGAGAGGCCTGGGCCAATTAAGATGTTCCTGGCAGCAACATCCCCATGCACCAGCCTGTGTTCTGACATCAGGTAATCCTGAGGGAGGAATAAATTACAGACAAACATATCAATCTTTGCTTGAAATATTCATTCAAGATAGACAGCAATATTTCCCCAGTAGGCTACCATGGGGGAAAATGCCAAGTGCATCATGACATGCTGCAGTACAGCATTGCATCTAAATTGAGCTCATTTCAGTCTCCTCGTTGTTTGTCGGAAATAATTGGTCCATAAAAAGTGACTCACCAGGCCAGCTGCAACCTGCTTTGCCATCAGAAACACTGACTTCTCAGAGAAATTCTGCAATGGATCTGCGTCAGAGTCTGAATTCTTCTAGAGGGAAGAAATAAATGTACTCGTCATTGCACAAAAAATTAGGAATAGAAAAAGGCATTTAATTTCAGGTTAGGACAGACGCTGACACTGTTACATTTCTGAGTGTCCAGAGGAAGTGGAGGAGGTTCCCTGGGCTGTAGGCATCTAAGACCAGATACATGGGCAGATGCTTGGTCTGACAGTACAACATCTGCACCACATTCTGGTGTTTACACACTGTGGCATGGAACAGGAGCCACTCCACAAACTCCTTCGCTTCAGGCTGGTTGGGGCCATCTATATGGAGTCACATTAATAACAAAATGAGAGATGTTATTAGCTGTTTTTTCATTATACTTACAATATATGTTAATATCCATCTTGCCACACTACTTGTGAAAAAAACCAATGATCTCTTCATTTCACACTGGCCTAATGACAGATTCATGCTGTACCTCGAAGGCACTTCACCACCACAGCAGAGGAGGGACCGTCTTTCTTCTTCAGCAGACCTTTACAAATGGGGCCATAGCGACCTGTCTGCCAAAACTCTAGTCCCTCAAGAACACACTCCTGAGGAATTTCCCAGGGATACAAAGCCTGCTGGACCTTTGGAGTGCTTACAGAGGCTGCGGTCAGGGTTACACTCTGCTGGCCTGTTAAACAACACAATAGCAGACACTGGTGGATTAGATAAATAAGAACTTGGCACTGCTCTCAGGTGCTGATGTGCAATAACGTTTGATTTTTATGGTGTTTTCTATTGTTTGTATAAAGAAGAAAAATACAGTTGTTGGCGTTCATACCATTTGTAAAATGACAGGAGGGGCTCTGTCCCCTTTGTTTGTTCTTGTGGAGACTGTAGAAGATCAGAGCCACCACTAAAACAGAGCTGAAGGCTAAGAGAGAAGGGATGATTATCACAGCAAGTGGACCTGATGACTCCTCATCTAAACAACAAGTGAAAGACGGACACATTTCAGAACAGCTTGTCATTATATAGGTTATTGTCTTCATCTCGGCAAGTGTAAGAAAAGTGAAGGTGAGAGCATCATCACGTTACACATTACAAGAGAGGAATCAGAATTTGGTGCATGTATACCAAATCACAGCATTTGTAGAGCTCAAAATGAATGCAACTTCCGGCTCTTTGCAGTGCAATGTGTAAAACTTACAGCACTCGGGGACTGAGGTATCGTTGCTACATTTTGTGTCCAAGTCCATGAGGAGCAGCTGACATTTCTCACATGAGAGAAACAGCCGACCATATTAACAGGAGAAATTCTAAAGTTTGTCCCTGTGGTGAGAAAAACTAATTAACTATGAAAGAATTTAAGATTGAAAAAAGAAAAAATGTAGACATGGCATGACGTGTAATTGCTACATATTGCTTTAGGTTTTCCTACCTGACACCTGATCCCCTCATGATCAAGAGAGAAAACACATTTCCAGCCTGATAATAGAAGAATTAACAGCAGCACAGAGGTTGAAAAAAAAATGACACAGCTGTTTATCAACAGCTTTTCAGAAAATGGGCTCAGCTTTGTGTGTCTACCTGTGAGGGCGCTGACCGACGTGGTGAGCTGGAAAGTTGACTGAATGTTAATCATTGACGAATCAACAGAAATGATAACATGGAGAACGTGTTCACACCTGCTGCAACCTTAACAGTTCACTGATTAAACTGGGATTATTCAACATATGAAAAAGCTCATTTCAGTTTGTTTAGTGACCTTGATGGGAAGTTTGGGTGGACAGCAAACCATCCATTCAAAAATAAAATAACACGGAGGAGCAAAAAGTAAAAACACATTGAAAACAAATCAAAATAGGTAAAACCAATATATACAAGATGATAAAAAAGTTCAGATTCTGATTTAATTATTCTATTTAAGGTTTATTTCACCAGTTTGGGCATCTTTGTGTTGTAAGTGCATTTTAGGAATGAGGTTGAATAGTACCACAGTGGCATCAGTGTTAATGAAAGGTGCTTGCAACGAGGTGCCATGCCTCTCGCTATTAACAACCACAAGGGGGCAGTATTGCGCAAGAAATCGCCTCCAAAATGTAATCTCCGCCTCAGACCTGAGAACCGGACAGGCTGCAGTTCTCCAGGCAGATTTTGTGGATTTGAAACTCCTCAATAATCAAACGAAAGTCACAGTTTATTGCACTGGGAACACACAGGAACGGGCTGAAATATCACCAGACCGACCGGACACAAAGCTCGACTACCCCGAACTCACAAACAGGCATTTCCCACGTGAAAATATGCGTCCCAGTGCGGGAACTCCGCCTCCCTAAACACACCATGGAAACATAATCTAGCGCTTCCCAATCGACTGGAGACCCGCCTCTTTCCCGTCGCCATTGGTTCAGTTGAGAGGCTCTAGGACCTTCCCCCAGCCTCTGATTGGACAGAATCCCCTGCAACTCAGGAAAGCAACACGGAAAAAGATGGAAAAAAAAAAAGTTATGGAGTGAAGCCTAATCGGATCACGACTGTTGCATGCTGCTGCGTAGTTTTTTTAGTGGGAAAAAATTCCCTCACATTGCCTCCGGAGAAGCAGAGGAGGAAGCAGAGCGCGCAAAAACTAGGAAGAAGGAGCTAGCAGGGGTCTCATTGTTTTGGAAAGGATCAGACGCCCGCCCGGTTCACAAGAGGAGAGTCAGGTAGGCTATGTTTTTCCGTTTCCAAGGACTGCCTTGCTGATGTCACCGCGGAGGAGGGCAGGAGTGGAGGACAGGTGCGCAGAGTAAAGTTACCTCTCCATAGGCTTTTGGATGTTGAACTGTCGCGGAGCAGGAGTATTACACAACAGCTGATGAATCTTTTTGGGAATCAGAAGTTTTTCAGTGTTTGTTGAAACTCTTTTTCTGGGCCGTGTTATATATTTGGCTGGCGTATTTTTTTTGTTTGTTTGTTTTGAAATCTTAAGTGGAATATATTTTTACTCCACGCTTTTGGAAGAAGTGACAGCCTCTGGCGCGCACAAACTGCAAGGTTCGCAGGATCCCTGCTGCTTTATAATATCGTGACTTAACGGCGTGGAGGAAGCTGCTATTGTTTCTTTTTTTGGGTTTTTTTTTTTTTTGGAGTGCACATAGCTGTGAACTGGGGTGTGGGATCGAGACGCCCCAGCATCAGAACCAGCACTTTCCGCTTCAATGCGACACTGACGCAGCTGGTCTCGCATCCCAGTCGCAGACAGGTGATGCTCGAGTAATTCAATGGAAGGATTGATCGTCAACTGAGGGAGTTTGATCTGAGAAAGACAGAAAGAAAGAGAGAAAGACTTGTTTTGTTTTTTTTCCTTGGAATGTAATACAACACAAGAAAGCAGCCTCAACTTCTCTAATCTGCAATGATTTTTCCGTGCGTCATTGCGTCTTAGGGCTCGGAAGCGGTGTCTTGCGCTGAAGGACAATCGTTCTTGGACTTGCTGTCAGGTTTTCAGGAGCTACTAAACAATGTCCAAGACACTGAAAAAGAAGAAGCACTGGTCCACCAAAGTGCAGGAGTGCACCGTGTCGTGGGGAGGTTCCGGGGAGTTGGTCACGGTAATTGAGGTGAGAGGCGGCGCGGAGCTGGGAGAGTTCCCGTACCTCGGACACATAGTTTCGGAGGCGATGGTTTGTCACGCCGGTAGGTTTCCCGGCAGCGCGGACGTGCTGCTGGAGGTGAACGGCACTCCGGTGAGCGGACTCACCAACCGAGACACGCTGGCTGTCATCCGCCACTTTCGGGAGCCCATCCGCCTGAAGACTGTGAAACCAGGTGTGTGCCCATCCTCATTTACAATAACAATGAACACCCCACCCACCCACCACCACACACACACACACACACACACACACCCACCCAACATGACAAGTGTGTGAAATGCTTTAAAGTGGTTTGTTAAAGCAGAGAAACCTGAAGATTGAGAGGTTTATAGGGGCAGGTGGGGCTAGTATCATGAATAAATAAGAGGAACTTGGGTGTTCAGCCTCACAGCTGAGCCCCTTTTTGCCTGTAGGGCACGGTGTGTAAAGCTCAGGTGTGTGTGTGTGTGTATATTTAGAAGCAAGTCTATGGGTCATTTTTTTGTATGTTCAGCCGTCATAAGCATATCTAAAGTGCATGTTAGCATGCCTCCTTTTCATTCGTGTGGAGACATACAATTTTCTACTACTGCTTTTGCTGCAGTCCAATCCTGCCAAACAACATAAGTGATGAGCATGCTGTGTTTAAGCACGCCTGTTCACAGTGCCCAGATGTGTGTGTGTGTGTGTGTGTGTGTGTGTGTGTGTGTGTGTGTGTTTGTGTGTGCGCACTACAGCATAAACCATGAATGGTCAATAAGCTCGCAGCCCTTTGTCTGAACTCAGCATGTAATCTTCTTCACATCCATTGCACAAGTCATGCCTATTCTCCAGCTCGTGTGTAGCACAGTAACACACTCATATAGTCATCATCACATGCACACACACAAACACACACACACAAACACACGGCTTTTTAAAGTCATTGTAATTCTCTGTCCGTGAGCTCAGCTGAAAGCTTATTGATTGGATTTATGTGTCTGTAATTACCTGAGTTACGAGCAATTAGTTTGTACTTCTTTATGGCTCACAGTCATGCCTAATGAATGTGTTCAATGTGGCAAAACATACTGACAGTCAAACTCTGCCAGTCACGTGGGACATAAAGGTTGTGTGCGTGTATGTTTATGTGGATGGATGAATTTGATAGAGTCACCGCTGAGTGTGGCACTTTGCAAATACTTAGCAGGGATTTGTTAATGGTCCCCTTGCCAGCTTAGACCGTGTCAGTCCGCTTGCAGCACTGAGCTGAGTCCAAGTCTAATTGAATCAATTAGGCCCATATCCTTAAATCCCCAGGATGCTGTGCGAGCCGGGAGACACGGTTTGACACCTTGACTGTCGGGCGTCATCTTTCTTTCTCTCTGTAGGTAAACCCGTTGATTCGGGTTAAGACAGGTGATTGAAATCAAATCACAGTGTTAATAAGATTCATTTTAAGTATTGGTGTTCAACGCAATGAGATCCAGTGTTACGCGTCGCATGGGAATAAAACAAAAACGTTACAGGAAATGTAATCTATCTAGACATTAGCATCCAGTTTGTTAAAGGTGCATTACATCACTCACTCCATCTCAAGCTTTTCTAACATTTTCTTTTGACCTTGTGTTATGTAATGTTAGCTGTGTGTTAAGTGATGCTCCAGCTACACTTGGACGTGTGCAGGCTGCTTCACCGTAGATCCCTCACGGGGCCTCACTGTGTGTTTATGCCTTTGTGCCCCCCCCCCCCCCCCCATGATTAATTCATGCTTCATCTATCATTGATGGCTTCTCCATACCAAGATCGGATGTTAGCCGACCGCCGTAGATGTAAACTTTATGTATCTCCTCCAGACTGCAATGTTTGGGAGTGGGGATAAATTGCTATAGGACTCATTAGAGGAGTTTGGGGTTAATTTTAGGTGAATGTTAAGAGTTTTTGCATCTGTTTCCAACAAAAAAAAACAAACAAAAAAAACCCAGTGTTGCTTGGGTGCCTTGTGTTTGCAAAACATTAGCCTGAAAGAGAAGCATTTCCATCATTTCCTGGACTGGAAGGTTTCCCCCTCTTTCCTCACTGCCCAGTTTGTCTTTACTTTACCCCCCCCCCCCAGCTGAATATGCCTTATCATCACATCTGGTATTTTCTTCCCTTCCTCCCAAACCCCTTCTATCACCAATATCCTCTGTATTTCCTCTTTTTTCCCTCCATCCATATTATGCTCTTAGTAAATCTAACAAATCTTTAAGGATTTGCAGCGCACCTGCAGCTTCTAAATCAAACATGATTTTGCACCTTCACTATACAGCTGCGACCTCTTGACACCTCCTCTGCACAGTCGGCACAGAGAACTGAAGTTTGTCCTGGGAGTGGTCCTCCGGCCCCCAGCCCAGCCCGTGCGCCTCAGTATGCAGCTCCCATCCTGTGAGAAGAGCACGGCAATAGGCAGAATAACCTTGAGGAGAAGATTGAGAGTAGAGGTGTAGCGATCACAGATACCTATTGCAGCTATTGCAGAGACGTGTGAGTGCGCAGCTCATTGATTAATGCTGTAAACAGGCTTAGATCTGCTTGTTTTGTTTTTTTTTGCCTCATGGAGCTTAATGGATGGACCATTTAGCTCTCAGGTCCTAGAGCACCCTTGATTCACAAATCAGGTCTGTAATGGAAACTGAGAAATAGGTTTTTCAATAAAAGGTTTTCTCTTCCTCATTCAAAGTCTGAAGGATATCTAATGGTAATAATACAGAGATGACCAAGGTTCGCATTTTACAGTGCTACCCCAGAGATTACAGATGACATCAGAGCGCAAGTATATAAATGCGGTTAAGGGGGCAAGGGCGAGATGGAAGAAACACTTTATCACGGGTCAGACTGTTTAAGGGGGTGTTAAGTGTTGTTCTGTGTGGACTGAAAGAATTATTCACTTTCTTATTCTTAAAAAAACCGTATGGTAAATGAACTTCAGTGCTCCACAATATGAGCTAAAGCAGCATCATGACATTATCAACTTAGAATATAATACGTCCTTAGTAATACAAATTATAATGCCATTATTTATTAAAGTAAGGCAGTGATTCGGTGTCAAATCTTGGGTGACAAAGGATGGATGGATGTCAACTAAAGGAAATGTTTATAGATATTTTTTCTGTAGTATCTATTTTTTTATATAAAAGATGAGTCTTCCAGCTACAGAGGAGCATTTTTATTTGAATGTATACGCAGGTACATGGCACTTACGCTATTCCTCTGGTTTCTGGTGAGAAATGAACTACAAAAATGATGTGTAATTTCATACAATCACATTCCACTTAATACCCAAGGAGAGGTGCTAAAAATGAGCAGCTTTCAGTCTTTTTTTAGTAAAAGAGAACTATGGATCACTGAAGTACCGTCTTGGACCTAATAGATGCTTTTTCAAGCATGTAGTCCTTTTTTTATTACTAGAAATTAGAAAAGGATCCTAAAGACAAGATGTCATAAGGAACCCTGCTAACAATAAGATGTGTGAGATAACTGCAGTGCTTCTTTATTCCACCTTTTAGACTTTCCTCAACAGAGACAAACTTGGATCCTCTTACACTGTCATACATAACCAACCTGTGATGTTCAGTGCTTTGCTTCCCCGGAGTTACTTTCTGATGAAGTGATGTGCCTACATTCACACTCTCCGTAGTGTTTGGTAACTTACATTACACTACTTTTTCCCATAATCCCTTTAGACAACCACCTGAGAGTGTGCCTGAGCTTGTTGCATCCAGTTGTGGTTTACACATGTGGTTGGACCGAGCAGATGAAGAAAGTCACACCTGTATTCAGAATAATCAGGTGTTTCGGGCTGCACCTAATTATTTTCATTGTCTAACAATCTGCGTATTAATGGATTGTTTTGCCTGGAAAAAAAAATCAGAAAATTGTAAAAAAAACAAAAAAAAAACAAACAAAAAAAACAACAACAGCGCAAAACACAAAGATATTCAGTTTACTGTAATGTATGACAAAGCAAAGCATTAAATCCTTAACCACCCAACCTTAACACCATGTGGTAATTTGCTACCATTTTCTCTCCAAAACGGCCAATCTCAGTTTTTTTCCTGTCTGTCTCAGTGGTGGTGTCATAGTGAGGTTAACACTTCATACGTTTGCCATCAGCAGCGCAGCAGAGCAATAAGCGCACAGCCTGTGTTAATGTGGTTCCCCCCACGGAGTGTTCAAGGCCTCTATGACTAAGCTGCTCTGAACCAGCTGAGCGGAGCTGCCAGGATCTCTCTGGCTCTGTGGCTCCTTCTCCCCACGGTAAATATTACTTCTGTTCCTCTCGCTGCCTTTGTTCCTCTGTCTGCATTTACATGGAAGCCCTGGTTCGTCTGAGAATTTACCTCGTAAAGAAGGTGAAAATTTTGCTGTAACCAGACAGCTTATAGGCCCCAGAGTCCGGTCCTTTCTCTTTACACTTTTGAGTGCATGAAAAACCAAAATGTCCATGAGAGAAACTTCACAGTTGCCACAATGTTATAGTTAGTCCTTTGTTCGTCCTCTCACCTCGTGCTCCTCCTGCATCTCTGAACATGGAGGCCATTCAGTATTCCAAGTGCAAGTGGAGCTTCGCTGGCACCCTTCTCCTCTCTGCTGTCTCTGCTGCATCCTATTTTCTTTGCAGGCGTGTGCATGTGTAAGTATATGCATATCGCAGCTGTACACCTGATGTGACATCCACCCATCGTCCCCTCCCACTGGCTGCTCTCCCGGCTCATTCCCCAAACCTGTCACACTTCCCCGCCCCGGCCCGCCAGTCAGCGGTGAGGGACGACGGTGCGAGCGGATGGGCATAGTGAAACCACCCCCCCCCCCCCAGGAGGCAGCAGCTGCTCTGAATACCGAAAACACACCTCCTCTGCTCTTCTTTTTCATCCGTCCATCCCTCCCTCACAACCCTCACACATTCCTAGTCCACTCCCTCTGTCTAACAGTTTACCCGTTTGCCTTCTTGCATTTCTTTCCTCCTTTTCCTGCAGTGCAAGTCGGTCCAGTGAAAGAAAGAAATGAAATGATGGAAGAGGAACACTGACAGTTTGCTCATTTAAGGGCTCCTGCATCATATTTACAGCCTTGGAACCATCCGTGAACGTCAGAGCTCCCCAAACCTTCCCCAGATGTTTAGTGACATGCGCATCCTTCTTCATTCTACCTTGCTAACACCGTCCGTAGAGC